CATGAAAGTGAGGAAGAAACACACATTTAGCACAAATTCAGATTTCACAGAGACCAAAATGCAAAAGGTGAATCCGAAAAATGTTTACACTGCAAGATTTCTGGGTGTGAATTCAAGGTTCTTTTAAAACATTCATTTTACCTTCCAAAACCATCTCTGTAATTTTTTTAAAGTATGAAATCTGTCTCCAACAGGCTGTCCAAACAGCACCCATCTTGTACAACGTCCAAAAATAGTCAGACTATCAATAATAAAAGCCCTAAACTTTATCCTGTTCCTAAACAATATTTGGGAATTTATTGGGAATTTATTTTGGAACTATCAAGATTTGTCCTGAGCCCATACAAATTCTCTGGTCCAAGTATATCAATTATAAACTGTAAAGAGGCTAGCAGCCTGACTCTATTGCATGTTTCCCAGAAGTTAAATGCCACTGAATTCAAGGTGTAAAAAGATAAAGGTTCCCTTGCTTGAAAGCCAGTCGAATCCGACTCTAGGGTTGCGGTGCTCATCTCCATTTCAAGCCGAAGAGCCAGCGCTGTCCGAAGACGTTTCCGTGGTCATGTGGCCGGCATGACTAAACACCAAGGCGCAAGGAACGCTGTTACCTTCCCACCGAAGTGGTCCCTATTTATCAACTTGCAATTTCTTGCTTTCGAACTGCTAAGTTGGCAGGAGCTGGAACTAGAGACGGGGGCTCACTCTGTCTTGCGGCACCCGGGTCTCGAACTACTGACCTTCCACAGCCTGCAGTTCAGTGTCTTAACCACTTGAACCACCGCAGCTCCGAATTCAAGGTGACTTGCTCCCAAATAAGCATGAACAGGACTACAGCTGAATCCAGCTTTAATGCTGAGCAAGAACAAATTTCTTTAGTGATGAGTAGCAAGCCAAATTGTTGGTTTAAGAGTCAGGATGTAATAATATGTATCACTAAGTTACATTCAGGCAAATCTAAATTTGAAATATATTTATAATTCCTTTACCTAGGAAAATAAAGTCATAGTGATACTTGTGTAGTTTAAATGTGATTTCTAAACACAAGTTTATACGTATTAATAGCAGAGGGAACAGTAACAAGCTGGCTCATATTAAGTTCATGAAATAAAAGTCATTCTCATTTTGTTTGCGAATGCGCTCTGCTTTCTTGGCCTGTGTGGAAGTCTACACACCATGCATTGACACAACACATTATCTGCCTTCTCATGTCTCACACTGGCAAACTTGATTGTCCTTTCTGTGGATGTGCCACATGGCCCAGAGGAGAGGACAGGTCTGTGGGTTTTCATTTTGTTGTTGTTGTTGTTTGGTAGAAATGTCAGACATTTACAGCCCAAGCCTAGGCATGTTTACTGAGAAGTAAGGGAAGTACCACTGGTACAGATTTTCTTAGCCCACTAAATGCCAAATGAAAACTGATTAGGTGATGCATTGGATTGAATAGGAATTCAAAGCAGCCTATGTATAATCCAAAACTGGTAGCAAATTATGAAATATAGAACCATTACGTGTATCAAGACTAGCAGTACAAGGGGATGCACACAAATATTAATGCATGGTCTTTAAAGAAGTTCACTCACTCTCTCTCTATATATATATGCCTTTGTTTCTCTGCATTCTACAACTGCATCTAGGTTGGCTAAAGTGTCTGCCAAATTGCCACTATTTCACACCTCTAATCATTAAGGGGCATAAATGCAGGACAGAACTTGTCGTCATGCCACTGGACATGCAGAACTTTCTTCAAGATATTAGTAGAGAAGGGTACAGCTGCTAATCTCCCTAATAGGCAGATGAGAAAAGAGCTGTGAAACAGAAAGGACCTGGGAAGGATGTATTTACTTTGAGCAAATCTGTGCCTAGCTGTGACCAGGAGTATTGTCATTGGGAGAAAACAGGTGGGAACCGCTGAGCACTGCAGACCCTCAAAGTGCTTCTCAACCACTTGTGGACTGGGGAGCATTCTGAACAGTTTACTAGGCAACTTCTAAAAGATGTTTTCTTCCCATTCTCTGCTACAGTTCAGGGCCTCAGATTATAATGAGCTCTATTTTTAAAAAATTACCATTCGAATAATACACAATTTTTGGTGATGCTGTGGGATCTCTTAAATCTGACATAGTTTAGGGCCTCAGCAGTAGGTACTACACAGTATATAGCACAGCAACAGTGCAGCTTCCATGTGACAGGTTTCCCTGCAGTTTCCCTACCCCAGTGCCCCAACAGCAGCCACCCTCCTCTCCCCGTGTCACAGGTTGTTGTTTTCGATTTGTTTTTAAAATTGGAAATAGAATATTTATAGTGATATAGTGATATAATACCCCTTCAGCTGCAGATATATGCCTTTCCCCTTATATCTCCATAAGGTAAAGGGTTAGAGATTACTCCAAAAAATGAAAGCTGTTAATTCAGAGAACCTGGTATGTATATTTTAATTACATAGCACTATAACAATATTCTATTGCCATTTTTAAAACAAAAGCCCCCTGGTGTCATGGAAGAAATGGCTACCATAGAGACAGGGAGCGGGAAATGGCTGCCATGTGGGCAGGAACATCCAAATTTCCCCACCCACACAGCAGTTACCACGGCTTTACTGCAATCTTTCCCAAATCTTCAGAGCAAAAGCAGGCTTGAGAAAGATCGGAGAAAATCCAGGGAAACCCCAGGAAGTGTACAAATGCACCACAATGCTGAAGGGAAGCAGGAAGGGGGGAAAACACTTTACAACAGCATTAAACTTGGGTCGGAGAATCCATGTGGAAATGACCAGCATATCTTCATCTGCTTGTAATGCTAGTATAGGCCAGAATGTAAAAGAGTTAATTTTTCTTAAGATAAATGGCTTTTATCTAAGTTGTGCAGATCTATGCAGGTTCAGACTTCCTAATGTGAATGGTACATAGTTGTCATGATCACAGCAGCACTATAAATGCAGGGTAACAATACTCCATATGAATTATGTTTTCAACAGCATTTCAAACCCACCAAATCAGGCCCAGAGCCAGGATTTTTTAAGTCAGAGGCCATTTAAATTTCTCAGGGGGCACTGCCTAATCAAATTAAAGGAATACCCGGCTCTTTTCCTGCACCTGCCTTCACTTGGGGCCCTGGGCTGGATGGGAAGTCAGGGGGCCTAGCCCCGAGATGCCCCACTGTAGCTACGGGCCTGCACCAAAGGTTCCTCTTGCTTTTAAGCTTAACATGTAGTACCCCAAAGCTTCTGCATTCGAAGGAAAACCTATAACACTAATTCCATTTTTTTTCCTTCCCAAAGCAGGACAATTATTAAAGAAACTCAAATACAAGCTGGAGTGAAGCTTTGTGAAATCTGCTACTCTAACTCCACCCCCCATGTCATTTATAAATCAAGGTTAAGCTTTTAAAATCTCAGCCACTACCATGTAAATAAAACCTATTTGATCTACACTTCAGTTCAGTTATTACTGGCTTCAAGCAGTGAAACTGTAGGAAGGGGGGGGCGAGGGTCTCAAGTGTTCAGCTCTGCATATCTCTGGCAGCGTAATGGACCGTGCTGTGTGTGTTTCGGGTTGCATGACTCAAAACGCCTGCTGCTGATGGTTGAATCTAGTGTGTTAATTTAAACCACAATCCTCAGCCTATGTACATGCAAGTAAACCCAGATGATTCCCAAAGGAATGTTCTTCCAAGAATTTTATCCACAGGATCAACAAACTAATTCTTAGGCCCAACTGATACTCACAGTGCAGTGTACAAGCAAGAGGTGGTCCTAATAAAAGTGATGTTGAAAAGTAAGTCAAACTAATAGAGTACTTCACTGACCTTATGATGTGAACTTTGTTACAATAGACCAGCCTGGCTAGCTGACTTCCATTTAGAAGAACCCCACAGCTGCTCCTTGGATTTCATGAACCACTAAGTCCACTGTGGACATTTTTCACTCTGAACCCAAGTACATGGCCGTGTATAAAAATGTGCCAGCTGAGGATCTCAGATCTGATTAAGTGGGTTCTAATCCACCCAAGCTGACCCCACAATAAATTTGTTGATATTAAAGATGCCACAAGACTCTATTGCGTTTGCATAAGTGCCTACAGAATGCTAGGCCTTTTGTCTAGCTGGAAATGTGGTTTGCTTCAATGGCTCACTCAGCAACAACTGATTACATCAGATACAAAAGGATGTGCAAAGTACTTTCCGAAAATCTTTGGTTACCAGCAAGATTACAAGTAAGCATTACTTACTTAACACAGCCTACCACAACCCAATTCCAAAGCTTGTAGTGTGATTAGCCCCATTTCTCTCAAAGTCTGACTTGAAGCTACTTGGCAAGTTCCCCACACTCACATGTCTCAATCTGGTTGCCTAGTGTGCTCACAGGGAAGAAGACAGCAGGAGCAGAACTTGCCCAAACAGTTCCTGATTAGCCATGCAGACTGCCAGAATCTGGGAGAAGCTGACATGTTTACTGCATCACCCAGAGGCCCTGGAAATGTGCAGAGTGCATCGCTTCCAACCATGTGCAAAAGCCTTACCAGGATGCAGCCTGGCTATGCAAATAGGAATAAGCCAGTGCAGAGTCTGTGGAGACAAGAGTGAAGGTCCTGTAGCAAAAATGCCAAGCATAGTTGTTGCATTCGGAGGGGAGGAGGGGGGCTTGCTTGCTCCCTCCGCTTTCCTTCCTTTCTCGGTACACACAATGGCCAGGCTAGCGTCCCATTGATTCGGCTTGCAGTGCTCTCAACACCTTTCCTTGCCAGGAAGCTGGAGCAGCGCTCTCTGTCCCTGTGGATACCCGTCCCACGGACCTGAGCTTTAACTTCACAGCCATGGAGTCCCCGACGGTCAGCCGTCTGACCTGCGAGAACCCAGAGGAAGCCCGTGGCCACGCTTTCAAGGACCCCCCTCTCCCCCTTTACCGGAGTTATAGGGGTGACTGCCCCCGCCGGCCCCTCTTGGCAGACCACCTGGCCGGCGCTGCCCCCTCCGTCTACTCCCCGCTTGGTACAACTACTCACAGTCGTTCCGCATTCCTCGGAATGCCTCGGGGCGCCGTCTTGAGTCCCAGCCCGTGGCAATCCACGTTGGGTCCGGAGCAGGTACACTTACTGGGGCATCCTTGGGTAGGCAGCCAAAGCGTGACGCTCCAGAGCCCCAGAAGCCAACAGAGGCGCCGCCAGCCCGGAGCCCTCCTGGCGGCCAGCATGCTCGCCTCTGCGCCGGACACAAGGGGGAAAGAAGTTAAAGTCCCGGCGGCGGCCACGCAGCGATCTCAGCACAGCCGAGCGGAGCGCGATGCTGCGGAAGGCATCGCCCTCAGCTTCCCGGACGGATGTTCCTTTTTTGCGCCTTCGACCCAGCCAAAGCGGGAACCCGGCCCCCGCCTCCTCTTCGAAGCCCCCAATTTGCCCTTCTCGGCTCCGCTTTGCCCAGCCCAGGTAACCGGACGGCAGCGAAGGGCAGTAGGAAGCGAGGCGCTCGCTCGCTCACTCACTCACTCGCCCGCCCAAGCGCTTCCAGGGCAACGCGGCATAGCCCCTCGGGGGTGGCGGCGGCGGCGGCGGCAGCACCCAAACCCTGAGAGCCAAGCCGCTGGCGCTGGGAAGGATCCAGGAGCGCTCGCAGCCGGCCGTCCCTCCATGGACTGGGCAAGGCGAAGCGGGCGGACACCACCCCACCCCAAAATAACACCTTCGCTTCTCATTGGCGGCCGCGTGGCTGACGTCATCAAACTTCGGGGAACTTTGGCGAGGGAAGGTAGGGCAAAAGTTTTGGGAGCGTCGAGCGCCGAAAAAGAGTGGCGGCGCGCTCAGGGAGGGGAGGCGAGGCCGGCATCGGCGGAGGCCGGGGTCCCTCCCTGGAGGTCAGGGTCCTGAACTCAGGTTGTATTCCTAGACACGGTCCTAACTGTAGTCAGGAGGAAAAAAAGAGAGGTTTTTGAGCATGAGCAGAATATCTCGCTGCTACTGACGCCTCCAAACACAACCTGACAGATTTGAGCTTTTTCTCCTCTCGCGTGTTAAGCACTGAGCAGGTTTCCCCCTCATATCAGTGGAGGTAAGAGATATTTCCTCTACTCCCTCAACAAACGACTCTGAATTAGAGCTTGATTTGCAGCCCAAGAACCTGAGATGTGGCCATTTGCCTAGACAGTTTCTACTGAAAAACATGGCCCGGCTAGAAATACCGATGAATTTAATGCTCAATGGACTTGATTAGAAATCACACTACAACCTTCCAGGTGGGACCTGGAGATCTCATAGTATTGACCTCCAGGCAACAAATTAGTTCTCAGGGGGAAATGGCTGCTGTGGAGCATGGACTGTATGGTATTATACCCAGCTGAGATCCAAACTGGAGGTGGCACCCTACAATCTACAACTGGACACCAGTTGCTGGCTGCAGAAGAATGCCTCTGAGCATATGCAATATATTTGTAGGATTCATGAGAAATAGTAGTTAAAAGTTTTGAGCCAGAAGTCACATGCCCAAACCTCAACTGAGCCATAAACTTACATGCAGCCTGATCTCATTGCATGTTTATTTGGAATTGTTTCCCGCTGTAAAGTAACTATGGATATGATTGCCACCAGGCAGCCCAATTCTGCACAGAGGTGTGTGCACCTAACTGATTTCATGTGGATTTAGGCATCTCTAACAGCGTTCCGTGCGCCTTGGTGTTTAGTCATGCCGGCCACATGACCACGGAAACGTCTTTGGACAGCGCTGGCTCTTCGGCTTTGAAACGGAGATGAGCACCGCAACCCTAGAGTCGGATTCGACTGGCTTTCGAGCAAGGGAACCTTTACCTTTAAGAGTGAAATAATGGGTATGTTGTAAATCCCAGGAAGGCCAAAATGCAATGTAAACTGATCTTCCTGTGTACCATCAATTGATTCAGAAATCTGGTACTCTCACTCTTAGAAGAATGGCCATCCTTTTTTCCTATGTCAGAAGCATGGTATGCAGCAGGGCTCTAGTCGGGGGGGAGCTCTCAGGTACGGAGCTCCGGAAGAGAACCTCTAGGGGGCGGGGCGGTCACGTGGTGAAGCCCCGCCCCCTTCTTTACCCCGCCCTCTGCTTCGATCCTCATTCCGTTTGGGAATGAGGATGAAGCAGGAGGGTAAGTAGCCGGGCCTTCTGATGGTATGCAGACATACAGAACTGCCTTTCTGTTGTTCACGTGTGCTTAACCACAGTGGGAACAAGGCTGAAAAGCACTTTAAATGTTATGTTTGAATTAGGCCTAACTCAACATGGGATAAATTGGTTAGGGGATTTGGGTAAATAATAATCTCTCAGTCTCAGCCCTTTATCTGTAAAATAGGGATAATAATAGTGGCTTGCTTAAAAGAAGATACCAAACATAAAATCAACGTGATATCGTTTCTTTAGATAACCAAAATGCTATAAAACACTTTGCAAGCTTTTGAGTACTCCAGAACTCTTCATCAGGTTGGATATTTTTAAACAAGGCAAATATGGAAAGGAAAATAAAATGTCTCAAGCCATGATCTTGAGACCTTTTTGTCTGTTTAGACATTCTGGTAGATTTAGGAGGCATCGGGCTGCAGGGCAGAATTGATATCAGATACTCGTGGCCTTATGGGATGCAGAAGGTGAAAGCCATGGAAGCTTCCACTGGGAGGATAATAACAGTTAATCAACTGTTTCTCTAACACCAAACAGAACACACAGGTGTTGAGAGCATAGAAAAATGTGGTAGTCCTTACAGGAACAATATTAGAGGCTGACTGGTTGCCAAACTGGGTAACACTACCTAGAGAGAAAAGTCTTTTTCCGGGTCATCTTTCCACCATCGAAAAATCCCTCTTTTTATTGGCTGAGTTCCAGTTTTTTCCAAGTAGATCAAATTTACAAGAAGATAGTATATGTGAAGATTTTTTTTGTAAACACTTTGAGCACCAACTGCCTCATCTCTTAAGATATGCTTTTCCTACAACAGAATATCTCTTACAATATTATTTTCCCATGGAATGAGAGACATCTACAGGACTTATACGTTAACCCATTGTTTTCACAGACAAAAGATTATTGTACATGTTTTCATAAATTATATAACTTATTGGCTAACTTAGTCCTTGGGGTCCTAGGAGGAGCCAAGGATGCCTTTCTGAATCTGTAGGCCTACAATACAAGTTTTGGTTACTGTTGTGTTCTATCCTTTTCTCCACAAATTTAACGGCTTTGTTTAGTTTTGTGGTGCTGTTTAGTTATCAGCCCACTCAAACAGGTCTCTGGAGAGGCAGCATATAAATTGTCTACATACATAAATAAGTTGTATTCATGTTAATAGATGCCTAGAAATGTTAAATGCTTTGGTATTTTTGGGAAAAAATGTTTGTGGTTATTTCTAAGAATGAAAAGGCAACTGAGTTTAAAAAACCAATGACTTTTCATTGTATGCAGACGCCATGTTGGTAGTGACTTGTCTGAGAGTTATAAAGTCGGGAAGCAAGGATCATAACTATTGAATTTACAAAGAACAGTATAATTATAAATGATATTTCAGCCATTCTTCCAGAGTCCATTTGCATGCTTGCTGTATTAGAGAAAGCATTTTACAAAATAACACATCCAGATCATTAATGTCAATCATTTATCAAGCACAAGGTAATTGCATGGCTTTTAAAGAGATGTCTTTCATTGCATCTGTCTGGACACCAGTTGAGCCTAGGAACAGTCAGTTCAGTCCAACTTTTCCTTGGTGTTCTTAGCATGTCCCCTTTCTCTGTTCCATGAGAGCCCACTTCCTGTTCTTAGATCAGAGTCCCTGGCCTAAGTCCAAAAGCAAGAAAATGGTGGATGCTGGCTCTGGCAGATACATAGCATTCAAGACATATATAAATACCCTACCCATATTGAGAATAGGCAAAGCCTTCCCCACATGTCCCCTTTGACTGGGTGCCTATTTTCCCATGTACCAGTTTCTCACACTGCTTGACACTCCAGACACACGTTTATAGTTAGCTGCACTGGGGAAAGCCACCCAACACGTTAGGCTTTTATACAGAATTCTCAAGTTTCAGAACTTCCAAAGAAATCATTTTTATTCCCTTTTTTTCCCACTCCTGTACTACCCTCTGGTGGTAGCAATGCTTTACATGTCTAACCAATCTTAACTTTTCTGGGAGGTCGTTGTTTTTCCGGCTGTCATGCTTTTTTGTTTCTAGTCTCATGTGGCTGGGGACACCTTTGGAATTCAGCTGGGCCAGAGCTCATGTGCCCAAGGCAAGCACAGCACTTCCCAGCTCTCCCTCCCTCCCAAACAATAACTTGTTCCTGCTCCAGCAAGTTAGTTAAAATGTCAAAAGGTATGCTATGAGTCTTGAACTTTACATTAATTAATGCATGTACATGTCAGTTAGTTTATAAATACTGTTTATTTTTAAAGATCTTTATCCCACCTTTCCGTGTCAGCCTAAAGCAATTTACGCTCATAATCAAATTAAAACCAGATATAGTAAAATCTGGGAAACCACAATATATGAAAAGCAGCACAAACAAAAACAATACATACTAACAATGCAGTCCTAAACAATTACTCTCTTCTTAGTGCACTGAAGTCGATGGGCATGAAAGGGTGTAACTCTGCTTATGGTTACACTGAAATAGCACCACAGAAACAGCCACAGACCGTGATTATTACTAACTGGCTGCCTGTAAAACCTGTAAGGAAATTTTAGTGCCTTGTGCATGCTTCTGGGAGCCCATTCCTCAAAAGAGGTTCAATGATAGAAAAAGCACAGTAACAGGCATATAAGCACAAGTATTTGTCACTTTGTACTGAGCGTATTACAGGGAGGACCTGAGACACAGAACAGTTGGTGTAGAAGTTCATATAAACCAAGAGCAAGCAGTTCATACAGCAAGAGGAAGTCCTTCAGATGCTGGCCCTAGGTCAGGAAGGGCTTTAAAGATATGAACTAGCACCTAGAGTTCAGTGCAGCGGTTTAAAAGCTGGTGTTATATGTGTGGAATGGACTTCAACAACAAAGGTACAGCACACAGTAAAAAGTAACACAAAACTAGCAAAACAAGCAAAACAACTGTGTTCTATGTTTCCTGCAACATGTTCATAAAGGAGACTTCATTTGAAGTGTAATATATCTATTATATGAGTTTTGGTCCTGTAACATTGTAGGAACCCATAAGGGTGCTGTTTAAAGCTAGGGAGACCTTGCCCAACATTGTAATAATTGAAAAGCATTACCTTGTAAGGAACTGAAAAGGGATTCTCAGCAGTGGTTCTTTGCTCCTGAGGAAGGACCAGGGGTCTG